AACAATAGTCATTTTTTTTTTCTAATTAAATGTCAATGGAAAGAGAATATATGGAAGTGATGGTTTCACAATGTCTAGAATTGTGATAGGCCATTCAATATCTCCTTGTGCCATGAATGGTACATGTATAACAATGCCAACACCACGCGGGAATTTTTGCTGAAGATGATCGACTTCTTGCATTTAATTCGAAATTCTGGAAACGAAATATTTTTATACAAAATGGGAGATTGATCGGAATGAATAATAAACTAACGTAAAATTAAATGTACATGATTTATACTCATCTTTAAATTTTATCATACCATCAACCTAGTAAGAAATAAGTTTTTCCCGGAATGATCATCGATAATTATTCCTTACTTCAAATGTTGGAGTTTTTGTTCTGATCAAAAAAAATTGTTTTCTTAATTATCCATCAAATAATATCTAAAGGGAATAATCATGGGTGTTGTAAATGTTGAACAAGAAAGAATTGAAGAAGGAGCTGACACAGGTAGCTGTAGTGGCTTTAGAACACGTATAAGCTGATGTTAGAAAAGAGGGTTTAAAATTTTTTTATATAAATTTAAATCTCAACATTTTATAATTTCATTAATATTATTAGATGGAGTTGCTAAGAAGATAAAGGTAGCAGTCACAATTCCAGTATTGGCTAAATAATAACTGGATATTTTGTGAAAGCTCAGGTAACAATAACAATAATAATATTAGATTTTAGAAGCAATTAATGTTGATTACATCGATGAATTTGAAGTACTTATGCCAGCTGATCAATGTTATCATATAAATAAAGATGATTTCAAAGTTCCATTTGCATGTGGAGCTAAGGATTTAGGTGAGGAACACAAATGTGGCAGAAGCTGTAAATCATATGAGAACCGTTACAAATGAAATCAAGGAAGTTTCAAAGACAGAAAATTATATAATGAATTATTTAGTTATGCTAGAAAAATACAGGCACCTTGTGGTTTATTACTGAAGACTATTGAGTTGAAAGGACTTCCAGTAGTAAATTTTTCTGGTGGGGGTTGGCAACGTAATTATTGAATAATAGAATATATATGTCAACTGTTAGCTAGAAAAGAATGGTAAAATAAATTTTTATTTATATATATATTTATATATAATTAAACTTGAAGACAATAATTTAAATCTTATTTTCAATGTATGCTCAATCTTTTATTATTTATTTAATTTAATAAAGAAACATTAGTATGTAAATTAAATTAAATATTTTTTAATTAAATTAATAAGTATTCAAATAAGATAAATTTATCTAATAAGGAATAAATTAGCTTCCTTAGCGTAGTGGTTAGCGCGTCAGTCTCATAATCTGAAGGCACCAGTTCGATTCTGGTAGGAAGCATTTATAATCAATCTTTTTGATTAATAAACTCTCGCTATTTTATTATCGTTAACTTTTTACGTATATACAAGTATAATTATTGTAACTAAGGATGTTAGCCGAAATAGTTTTGAAAAAATCAATTTCGGCAAGCAATTTCTGATTTACAATATTCTTTATATCAATAGACATAAAAAAATTACCCAGAATTTTGGCTATTGAGTTAAAGCGTTCAAGTAATTTTGGATGACAACTAATAAAGTTGATTTTGGCTATTTCGGCACCTCGGATTTGGTGATGATCATTTATTAATATTAATTATTAAGAGAGGTAATTTCGGCTAACATGCTTAATTGTAACAATTATTAAAAACAAAATTATATTTTTTATTATAAAGTCCTGACAATGACTCTCTTTTAGATAAATTTTGCCAACACTTTTTGGATTTAATTCGCAAAATACTCCATATCTTATTCTGAAAATAAATCAGATTTAACATAAACAGCTCCACAATTCCCTTTTTCACTATTTACTATGGCACATAATAATACCAATTTCGGCTTTAACAACCTCATCACTACCAAATTGTATTCTATGCGTTCTATGAGCCAAAGCATTTATTTATATTTCCTTCTGTGAAATTTGATCCACTAGGTTGAGAAAGCAGTGGAATAATTGTTACTTCGGTATGACCTCCAACTACTGCAACATTTTCATTTTTGAATCTATACTCTTTAATATTCTGGTACAAAATGGAGATGCACAGACAACATCAAGAGTTATGACATCATATACTCTCTCTATATAAATTATTAAATTTTTTTTAACTTTGATTTAAGAAATCTAGTTTTTTGGGGACATAGATATCGTGCGCCTTCAAACAATAAGTGCAGTGGAATTCAAGGATCGAGGATAGTTGCTAAATGTGCTAGTGGTGCATATCTAATATAAAAAGAGCATGATTAATAAATTAATTAACAAACAAAAATCCAATTCAAAGAATAAATATAATAATATCAAATATTTGGCTAAATCATCACGAGCCATTCCAAAATTAGTCTTAAATCGCAAGAAAACCCAATCATATTTGATACCTATCTGTAAACCACTACTTTTTTTCCTTTTAATAATAATGACGATGAATTTTTAGTAATAAAAATTAATTTATCATCGCATACCATATTAGCATGTCGAAGGTCATCATCATTTTCTGAAAGAGATTGAAAAGTTTTTTAATTCGAGGAGAGAAATAAATAATTCTAATCCGATGCTCTATATTCAGTTATGACATCTCTCAATCCACCTTCAGGCGTTTAAATTTAAATGAAAAGATATTTAATAAATCCAAGAAGGAGCTCTGCTCATCGCTCCATAGATTCATCCGGGTAAAACGATATTTCATTTACTGACAAAGTCACGTTTTGTGAACTGTTAAAGCCGAATCGTTCTGCAACACTTTGACACATGTATGTCATTAATAGTTTATTTCGGTAAATGCTTCTTCATTGTTTACACTGCTATATGCAGCATCTATGCAAAAATTTTCTCCATTCACACTCATAATAGATGAAAAACTCGTTTAATGAAAATAATTGCAAAGTAATGAATGTATAATGTTACGCCTCGCCGACTGATCCATTTCTCTTCAATGTCAACAAGCTAATAATATTAATCAAAGGTCCAATTGATCAAATAAAAAATATGACAAGGGAAGGTAAAAAAAACACACTCCAAATAATGCTAAATCAGGTAACACCTGATATCTGGTTGAAGTTTGATGGTCATAATTTGTAAATTGAAAGGCTTAAATTTCAACTCCATTTGAAAATGAGAAAAAATGAATTACGTTGTTGATATATTTATAATATTTATATGCATGTGCGCATGGAATTTAATGCTGCCGTAATGGATAATATGAATTACGAAATGATTATTAAAAGAAATTTATTATTCAAAAAATTAGTTAAATTGGTGAGAAATTTGAAATGTAGCCTTTAAGAGAGAGGTGGGCAAATGGTGCTTGACAGTGATTATTACCAATACAGAGAGCAAGCGTACAAGAGTTCCGCAGCATTTAAAACTTGAGAAATGAGAATCATTTCTGATTAATCCCAACTTAATTATGATCAAATAACTACTTTTAATAAATTAATGAATGATAATGTTTTTTAATTAAATAATTAAATATTTCTAAATAGAATATTAATATTAGTAAATTAATGAATGATAGTGTTTTTTAATTAAATAATTATATAGAATATTAATATTAATATATTAATGAATGATAATGTTTTTTAATTAAATAATTAAATATTTCTAAAATAGGATATTAATATTAATAAATTATAATGGTATAAATAAATTTTTTCAATCTATAAAATGAATTATATTACAAAGATGTACTAACAATTTTATTATCGCTATTGTCATTATTGTCACGATTTTCACTAGAAACATCACCTCTAATATTATTATTGCGTGAATTCCCACCAGATCTGAAATAACTAATACACCAACAACCAGCTCCAACAAATAAAAATCCACCGCATATAATTGGTATTATATATTGATCGATGGTTATTGCATTTTTTTGACAATCGTCGTAATCAGATGTAGACGGTTTTGGAATATCCTTCTTAATTGCATTACCAATAATTATGAATATTGCTGAACATATAAATATAGCTATTAATGAATTCGGAACTTTGAATGATCGATCAATTTCTGCCTCTTTATATCTAAGCCACTGTTTTATTAGATAATAATGATATTTTATTATTAATTAGCATCATTGTCATATAAACTAAAGAAGGTTAGTATTAAATTATTTTATATTTACCAATAAACCAATACTAGCAAGAAAGTAAAAAATCCATGCAAAATATGTGGAAAAATCTGACAGCGTCTTGAATGGATCAGAGGAGAATGCTCCACCAAGAATTACAAACACCATTACACACCAAATAAATTGTGCCAAAAGTGCATTACGTGGTGTATATTTTTTATCATCTAACTGTTTTAATATACAGAGAAAAGTGGAATAAAATCGATTCTCGAAGCTTCAACCATGACACGTGATCCACTACATATAATTGTATATAATAATAAATTCATTATTGGATATACTTCTGCAAGAGAAAATTGTATATGTTTTAATTATACAAACCTCCATGTCATAGAAGATGCAGCACCAAAAGCAGACAATGCAACAAAGAAGGACAATGCCCTTCCAAACTTCTCGCCACCTATCTCCTTGGCAAAATTGCCTGCTATCACTTCATTAAAATCTTTTCCGTGTCTATTTACATCTTTTGAATTAACGACTGTGATGAAAGCAACATTTGTAAGAGTATCTATAAACATAAAAACACATATGTTAATATAAAACTATGACACGAAAAAAATATTAACAAAACTTACACAATATGGTCACAACAGTGACACTGAGACTATTACTGTATATCAATCGACCTTTGGGGTCTTTAAATTCATCCAAAGAGTCTATTTTATAATTAACATGTGTTGATTAGAATGAATCAATGAACAGGTAAATAAAAAGCACTAATATTTAATAAAAGATACTCTACTAACAATTCAAATTGTTCCAACCATTATATGCAAAGAAAACCTTTTTGTAACAAAAAAAAAAAGTTAAAAATATTTAAAGTCAAAAAACAAATTAATATATTCAACATACTGAAATCAAAGCGCCAGCAACACTTGAAAACGAAAGATTTTCTGTAACATAGAATGGATTTTGCCAATTTGGCTTACTGACATCCGTTCTAACAAGTTGAACAAATCCAATAGAAATGATAACTGTCAGAGTTAACATTTTAACCACTGCTGGTGCTTGGTTGATGCGGCTGGCCCACACATTTGAAAATATATGATAAAATGTGATAATTGACAATGCTATTATTCCAATAATTTTTAAGGTCCTATAATAATAATTTTAATAAATTATTTTTATCAGTAACATACATGATAGTTTTATTTATATCGATTGATTGTAGGTAACAATAATAATAAATTTCTCACCAAAATTCCAACCCCCAATCATTATTTGGATGTAATTGTCGATGAAATTTTTCTGATGCTTGACAATACTCATGTTCGTCTACTGTTGTATTTCCTGTATTTTCAGGAGGATGTGGTATAACAACAAACAGAAAATGTTGTGCTAGTACTTGTAGCACTGCGCCCAAGGATGCAGGTCTTATTGCACTAAATATAATTGAAAATTAGAATGATATCAATGCATGCACTCTAAATATACACATATTATTTATTACATATTCAAATTAGCAAGAAAGTAAAAAATCCATGCAAAATATGTGGAAAAATCTGACAGCGTCTTGAATGGATCAGAGGAGAATGCTCCACCAAGAATTACAAACACCATTACACACCAAATAAATTGTGCCAAAAGTGCATTACGTGGTGTATATTTTTTATCATCTAACTGTTTTAATATACAGAGAAAAGTGGAATAAAATCGATTCTCGAAGCTTCAACCATGACACGTGATCCACTACATATAATTGTATATAATAATAAATTCATTATTGGATATACTTCTGCAAGAGAAAATTGTATATGTTTTAATTATACAAACCTCCATGTCATAGAAGATGCAGCACCAAAAGCAGACAATGCAACAAAGAAGGACAATGCCCTTCCAAACTTCTCGCCACCTATCTCCTTGGCAAAATTGCCTGCTATCACTTCATTAAAATCTTTTCCGTGTCTATTTACATCTTTTGAATTAACGACTGTGATGAAAGCAACATTTGTAAGAGTATCTATAAACATAAAAACACATATGTTAATATAAAACTATGACACGAAAAAAATATTAACAAAACTTACACAATATGGTCACAACAGTGACACTGAGACTATTACTGTATATCAATCGACCTTTGGGGTCTTTAAATTCATCCAAAGAGTCTATTTTATAATTAACATGTGTTGATTAGAATGAATCAATGAACAGGTAAATAAAAAGCACTAATATTTAATAAAAGATACTCTACTAACAATTCAAATTGTTCCAACCATTATATGCAAAGAAAACCTTTTTGTAACAAAAAAAAAAAGTTAAAAATATTTAAAGTCAAAAAACAAATTAATATATTCAACATACTGAAATCAAAGCGCCAGCAACACTTGAAAACGAAAGATTTTCTGTAACATAGAATGGATTTTGCCAATTTGGCTTACTGACATCCGTTCTAACAAGTTGAACAAATCCAATAGAAATGATAACTGTCAGAGTTAACATTTTAACCACTGCTGGTGCTTGGTTGATGCGGCTGGCCCACACATTTGAAAATATATGATAAAATGTGATAATTGACAATGCTATTATTCCAATAATTTTTAAGGTCCTATAATAATAATTTTAATAAATTATTTTTATCAGTAACATACATGATAGTTTTATTTATATCGATTGATTGTAGGTAACAATAATAATAAATTTCTCACCAAAATTCCAACCCCCAATCATTATTTGGATGTAATTGTCGATGAAATTTTTCTGATGCTTGACAATACTCATGTTCGTCTACTGTTGTATTTCCTGTATTTTCAGGAGGATGTGGTATAACAACAAACAGAAAATGTTGTGCTAGTACTTGTAGCACTGCGCCCAAGGATGCAGGTCTTATTGCACTAAATATAATTGAAAATTAGAATGATATCAATGCATGCACTCTAAATATACACATATTATTTATTACATATTCAAATTTACCAAATCCAAGCAAAACTAAAAAGATAGCTAATAAGCAATTTTGGTTTAGGAAATGCTTTTTTAAAAAAGCCAGTTTCACCACCACTTTCTAAAGTTATGGTTCCGAACTTTTTAGGTTAATTTTAAATTAATATTTTAATTAAATTATTAATATATAATTTTAATATCATGTATATGTACGTATATGCATAGATTACCTCAACGTAAGTTAATGACCCGCATAAACTTACAAAGCCACCATATATCCATATAATCAATGCAACACCAGGTGAATTGACCTTTGTAAAAAAACAAATACATGCTTTTAATAAATACACGTATATAAATTAATTAAAAGCATTGAATTTAAATAAAACATACTGTCTGCCAAACAATTCCTGGTGTTGAATAGATGCCCTAAAATATTTGATTGCATATTAATGACGGATTACATATTTTCAATAGATGACGGATAATTCATGAAAAATAGAACACTAACAGATCCTAGCATATTATTGACATTTCCTGCAAAACCGGAAAAGGTTGTTAATATTTTTTGATCATATCCTTGATCATCTCCTTGATCACCCCTATCACTTGAACGTATACTTGAACGTCCATCATCAATTTCATCAGTTGTCATGATTTAATTGAGAATAAATTTGATTTTTTTAAAAGTTTGCTTGCAACGGATTATTATTAAAGTTATTTTTTTTTAAAAAAATTAAAAGTTGTAAGTGTTTCATTGTAGAAAACAGAATTCACTTAAAAATCAATCTCCCATTTTGTATAAAAATATTTCGTTTCCAGAATTTCGAATTAAATGCAAGAAGTCGATCATCTTCAGCAAAAATTCCCGCGTGGTGTTGGCATTGTTATACATGTACCATTCATGGCACAAGGAGATATTGAATGGCCTATCACAATTCTAGACATTGTGAAACCATCACTTCCATATATTCTCTTTCCATTGACATTTAATTAGAAAAAAAAAATTACTATTGTTGTCGCGAGGTTCATTCTAACTGTATACAATGATTAAAATGAAGGAAAACAAGGAACAAAATTTTGTTTATTATTTAATTTGTGACGAATTTAATTAACTAAAATTTCAAAATGACAACTAAAGTGACAACATCCCAATTTAATAATATGAAAAATAAATAACCGTATAATAAAATAATATAGTGAATAATATAATGAATAAATAGTGTGAGATGGTATCAGAGTCACAAATGACATTAAGATGTTCTTTGTCGTGATTTTATTCTTTTTTTAAATAGAATTTCATAATTAAACAAATTACATAGTTAGAACATTTAGAATAATTCGCATGGAGTTACTATTATTATTATTAGGAAAAAATGTCCGTTATAGAAAGAATCTGTTATAAACAATATTAATTTATATATACAGTGTGTAATGAAAAAAATTGCCTTCACGAAAAACTGCATAACTCAACAATCACATGAAACAATTAAATGATACTATATTTATTAGAAAGTTTATCATGTACTTTA